AGGCGCTTCCTGCAGCCAGTGCATATATTCTGTCCGTGACCCCGTCATCTCCCCAGCCTCAGTATAGGGACACATTCCGGCGAAGATGAACACAGGCGCCCGCCCGACGCTTGCATTGTGTAGGCCCTGGCCAAGCGCTTGCGTGCCCACGTCGACATGGACTACGACAGCTTGCGCCCGACCGGATACCCTCGCGTAGCCATCTGCCATGGATATAGCTGTTATCTCCGATGGACAGGTTATGAACCGAGGCCATTTATCTGGCCGCTCTCTCTTACCCTTGACGATGGCTTCGATGATGGACGGATGGTCTGAGCCCACATTGACGAAGCAGACGCTGATGCCGGCCTGGAGCAACTGTTAGTGGCCATGATGTTTTTAAGTGGCGTATGACCGTGTGGTAGTAATATGACCTCACCTCCCATAAAGCCTCGAAGAGCGCGAAAGCCGTGGTGTACCTGCAATGCTGTCAGTGAAATACTTGAAATGTTACTTTAGGCCGGCGAACGAAGATGTTGGTGGCGATGGACTAGGTATGACGCTTGGAGGAAAACTGGTGTGGTATTGGCGAAAAGGAATGCTGATTGTGATTGCCGGTCGCTCAGTTCGCAACGCGAGTGCGTGTAGCGAGGGCCGGCGCGACGATATGCGTACATCTCGGGGATGCTGATACGACGGGGTGTTGGACAACGTCGACAGGCGCCTACGCGATGCAAAGAAGCTCGCGCGCTTGCTCGCAGCAACATCAAACACGTGTATGCGCATGTTGACAGATCCGAAGGTGTGTTGTGGGTGTTCAGACGCGTGGGGCAGGATACAGATCTGACCAATGACACATTACTACTAGGAGCTTAGCGTCAGCTTCCTTCACTACGTGGTCAGTGGGTTCTATCAGCGTTCTATCACAGAATTGCTATGATACATCTTGTCTGGTAGTTCAGCAGTACTTCTGCTTCCCTCGACGTTCAGGCCCACCTGATCGGCGTTCACCTATCGGACGCGTCGGGAACTATCCCGAGGTTAGCTCTGCCCGCTGCCGCTACCATCTAGCGCCGGGGCTGATACTCAGCCCCCGAGCTCCGGATCGCGACAATTCTTCTACTCTATCTAAGAGCGTCTGCAAGTCGACCGGTCATTCCGCTTCCGGATACCGTATTCTGTAGAAGGAGCAGGAGCAAGTGCCACTCAATGGTAGTCGTAAAATGCAGGTCCCAGGCGCGAACGGTCACGCGAAGTGAGAGAGACTAACGTATACTGACGGCAGGCTCAAGGTCTGAGGTGCCTGCGATGCGCATAGCTTGGCACGTTTATGAGCAAGCCAATAACAAGACGCCGGCTGTGTCAACGCATGTACGCACTTCCCGCTGACAGCTCGCGACAGGAACATAAGAGTTAAGCGGGCCCGTCCTGATTCTGCCTTGCTCGTCTCGCGCTATCACCAGCCTTCTTCCCATTTCACCCCGGACGCCATTGACCGGAGTTGAAGGCTACCACCACCGGATCTACGATAAGCCGCACGACACGGAAAAGTTGAAACAAGATTACTGGGCGATCGCGCGACCAAGCCGTGCGAAAGGACCGTAAGAGGAGGGACGTTGACCGCAAAGATGGGGATAGTGGACAGCAAAAGCAACTCGCCAACAATAGATCACCAATGGAATTTAGAGCGCATAGCATTTGGAGAGACTGAGGACGAGGCTTTGTTGCAAGAACTTCTTGAAAGTAACCACGTGAGACCGGACGAACGAGATGAAAGATACTATCCAGGCCGAACCTTGCTATCGATCGCCACAAGCCGTGCATCCGCAGCTATCGTGAAGATATTCCTGGCTAGCGACAAGGTAGATCCGGATTCGCGTGATGCGAAGGGACGCACGCCTTTGTCGCATGCCGCAGGCGAGACGCGTGGAGCGATTGTGAAAATCCTTCTCGAAAGCGACAGAGTGGATCCAGACTCTCGAGATGATGAAGGTCGAACGCCCTTGTCGTACGCTGTGGAAGAGAAGTACAATACGATCGCCGCAGAACGTGAAGCAATTGTAAGTATGCTTCTCGAGAGCGACAGGGTGGATCTTGACTCTCAAGATAACAAAGGTCGAACGCCTCTGTCGTACGCTGTGGGTTTGAAGGGCGATGTTATCTTTGAAAAGCTTCTTTCGAGTAACAGGGTAGATCCAGACTCTCGAGATAAAAGCGGTCGAACGCCTCTGTCGTATGCTGCGGGTGGGAGGTGCAATACGATCGTGAGAATGTTGCTTGACTCGAAAAACGTTGATCCAGACTCAAGGGATACAAGTGGCTGTACCCCACTATCACGGGCTGCACAAAGCGGGTGGGCTGCAAGAAACAGCCCCCAGGATAACACGATACCGCTGGCTTTACTGGAAACTGGCAAGGTGAATCCTGCCTCTCAAGACAAGCACGGCTACACAGCTCTCTGGTGGGCTATTGGGGGTAGATGCGAAGAACTCGTTACACTGTTACTTGAAACAGGGCAAGTGGATGTAGAGGCAAAGGAAAGGTCGACCGGCCGATCTCCGCTGTCCCATGCGGCAAGAGTCGGGAACGGATCAACTGTGAAGGCGTTACTAGGTACAAGTAACGTGGACGTGAACTCGAAAGACAATTGGGGTATCACGCCGCTCATGTGGGCAGTCGAGCGCGAGGCTCACCATATTGTGGACTTGCTTCTCGGCGATCGGAGGCTCCTCGAGCGCTCGACAGAACACAGCGGTCTTGAGATTGATGCTCAATATCTCACGTACTGGCAAAACGTATGCAACCAAGAGCATGGCAAGGACTGTCAATCATCACCGATCGAGCACCGATTGCCCCACCATATTCCTGATTGGGTCATTGACACGACAGAAGGTTATATAGTACCCGGTTGTACTGTCTCAAGATACATAGCTTTGAGCTATGTATGGATCGCCCCGAATGCGAGTACCGACACGTCCACAGCGGAGAGACTGATGCTAACACAGGAAACTCTAACCCAATTTCAAGAGCCGGGGTATCTGCAAGGGCAAACACTCGCTCGTCTTCCCTATGCCGTGAAAGACGCGATTGTTCTTGTGAAGAAGTACGGGGAAAGATACCTGTGGGTTGATTGCCTGTGCATTGTACAGGATAGTGAGAGAACGCGCGATCAGGTCGACAACATGGGTGAAATATACGCTGGCGCGTACCTGACTATAATTGCTGCGACCACCGCGGGACATCTGAATACCTGGAAATCTACAAGACGTCGTGGCCGTGGCCTGGACACTACTACCCGACTTTACGAAAAGCTTTTGAAGACCAAGTGGGCCACTCGTGGGTGGACCTTTCAGGAACAGATGCTCTCTAAGAGAGTTATCATCTTCCTTGACAGAGAGGTATTCTGGGATTGCCAGAGATGCGTTTGGAATAGGGAAGACCTCACCCCAAAATCTGCTCCGAATACTACGTTTACCCGACCCTACTATGAGACTGCTCGGCGAATTCCCACCATGTCTCAGCCAGATCTAGACATGTACATCGAGATGATTAGCTTGTACAACAGTCGCGATCTGACCTATCCGCAGGACGCGCTACCGGCGATATCTGGTGTGTTAAGTACACTTGGGCACACTTTCGTTTCTGGTTTCGTCAGCGGCCTTCCTTGTGCATTCCTAGACCTCGCGCTACTATGGCAACCTTATAGTACAGCAATTCGTAGAGTGGCCAAAGAAGGAGGCACTGTCGCACCAAGAAGAAGTCTACCATCATGGTCATGGTGCGGATGGCAATGCCCAGTGGACCCTCACAACCTCCGTTTGAGGTTCGACTACTTTGAGAAAGATTATCTCGGGGAAACCACCAGCCCTATTCCATCGACCTGGCAAACACACCGACTTGTGCAGTGGTATGCTTTGTCCGAAGATATGCAGCACACGTCGCGCATTGACGAATCTGATTGTCTATCTATGCGCGAAGAACTTACTCCCGATAAGAACGCTGTAACCCCTGGCACACAACCATCTTGTCATCAGGGCGAACTTGAATCATCAAGAGAACGCCAAGATGCTGGATCCGTAGATGCAAACACGACTTCGAGCTCGCACCGTTTGGCAGCATCTTCCCCTCGCGCTTCACGCTCTGTATTGCAACTTCGAAAAGATTGGCCATTCCTCTCATTCGAAACAAGTACGGCTTCACTCCGTGTCAAAACTATCCTCAAAAAGGCCCACTCCCCTGATATGTTGTATATGGGCCCCTCGGTATTCAAACTTGATCAATTTGCCCGTGAGCCATGTCTTTCAGAGATATGCTATATCATATGCCTGGAGGATGAACGAGGGAATCAAGCAGGCGTACTACGTCATATGAATCGTGACCGAGTCGATCCCGGCGACGTGATTGAGCTGATGGCTTTGTCCACAGGGACTATACGGTCGGAACACCTCCGGAACGTTGGAGGAGATGGCGGACCTCTGTTCAAGCAGATGATGAAATCAGATACTGATGAGATATGTACTTCTGAATATCTGGGTAAGTAGCATGTCAAGCCTTGCAACGCTAACAAAACCCCCATAAATTTGATCTACATGATCTGGGGCTAACCCTCGTAGAACTGCAGAAAGAAGTGAAGAAATACGGCAAAGAAAGCGAATCTGGCTGGGAATACCACTTCTACAATGTTCTTTGGATCGAACGCAAGGGCGAGATCGTGTATCGGAAGGCAGCTGGGCGTGTACCACAAGTTATCTGGGAAGCAAATTGCACGAAGCCTGCAAAGATCATTCTTGGCTGATACTCCGCAAGAGCAGCGACAACAACTGTCCTTGACATATATCAGACTTCAGTCGCACTCTATATGTTTATAAACTCAGTATGATACACAATGAGTCATTTCGCGCTAATCGGCCAAGCATCGGTCCTACCCAGATATAAAGGTGAACGTCCAAGATCGAAAGGATCCAACATGCATATAGTCAATTCCAAGTTCGACTTATTCCAACACTCGCAGCCTCCAAAGAATGATAGTAGACATCCTCCACGACATCCGCATCTGGACGCTATTTGCCCTCCTCAGCGGCGTCTACATTTACATCCAAAACCACCGGCGCCGCCCACCCTTCCCCGTGATAAACACGCACGCAAACGATTTCCTCGGCCGAAAAGCCAACCAAGACTACGCCACCAATGCCTCCGCCCTAATAACCACCGGCCTCACCGCCCACCCTGCTAACCCCTTCGCCCTCGCCCTCCCCAACGCCTACAAAGTTATCCTCCCAGCTTCCCTATCCAACTTCGTCAAATCGAATCGAGACTTGGATCACAGGGAGTTGGTGTGTCAAGACTTCTACGCAGGGTATCCCGGTTTCGAAGCCCAGGATGTGTTGCACGCGTCTGGGGATATGTTGCTGGACATCATCAAGGCGAAACTAGGGCAGAATGACAGTATTATGCCTGTTCTGAGCGAGAAGTTGGATAGTGCATTGCGCGTGCACTGGGGTGAAGAGAGGGAGTGGCGGATGCTGAACTGGCATGCTGACACAACGGTCATAATCGCGCGCGCTGCTTCGTCAGTGTTCGTTGGACCGGAGAAGTGTGAGGACGAGGAGTGGTTGAAGCTCGTGCAGGAATACGTCATGGCATATTTCTCTGCGGTGGACGAGTTGCATGCGTATCCAGCATGGTTACGACGCATTATTCAGCGATTCTTCTCACCCAATGCATCTGCATGCCGGAGACATGTCGCCCGCGCGAGGCAGATCATGACAGACGTCCTCGCGGATAGGAAACGCCAGGTTGAAGAAGCGAAAGCAGAAGGTAGAGACATACCCGTTTGGAACGATGCACTTGCGTGGACACAGGCTGCTCCAGGAGGCAAAGAAGCGGAGGCGGGCGATTTGCAGTTATCGCTTGCGATGGCGGCCATGTTCACTACGAGCGAGCTGTTCAGACAGGTTCTGATCGATGTGGCATCGCATCCGGACGTTATCGCGCCGTTGCGCGAGGAATCACAGCAGCAGATTGCGAAGCACGGCATCTCGGTCGCTGCGACGAATGGAATGGTGTTGATGGACAGTGTCTTGAAAGAGAGTCAGAGGAGGAGTGCGGCCGCAGGTATGTATTCCCCTCCTTTTCTTCGTATCTCCATACGACTCTCTGCATGATATGATAGGAAAGAAGAGCTAATCTGTCGATCAGTCGCCCTGGAACGCGTCGCTTTGAAAGACGTCAAACTCCCAACCGGGCATACACTCCCTAAAGGCACACACATAATGGTCGACTCCACCTCGCTCTTTTCTCCTACGCACTACCCTGACCCCGACTCTTTCGTTGCAGACCGCTTCCTCCGAAAGCGCGAAGCGGGCGATAAGTTTAGCCAGTTCGTGCAATCAGGTCCTGATTACAGCGTTTTTGGAAGTGGGAGACATATTTGTCCAGGGAGGTTTTTCGCAGGGAATGAATTGAAGATGGCGATGGCGCATGTGCTGGATAAGTATGATATCAGAGTGAAGGAGGGTTATGTGTCGAAGTCATTGGAGATGGGGGTCTACAAGATTGTAGATCCGATGATGCAGTTTGAGGTTAGGAGGAAGGGAAGAGATGAATGTGTATTATAGGAAGTCATTTTTGGCTGTTACTTTGCACGATCAGCGAGCCATTGTCAACTTCCGAGGTCCACGCCACCATGCGCATGACAGACTAGGTGGCTATAAAGTCTCCAACGCAAACCTTCCCTCCACTACTTCTTCATTACACACCACTGCATTCTCCAAAAAGACCTTTGGGAGAATGTATGTTGAGTGCTCTGTCCAAAATTTACTCGTCAACAAGCGCATTGCTAGCATGCATCGACTCCCACCAAAACAAAAATCACGATGGTCATGGATATGATCGCGCGGAGCAAGAGAGCTTGCACTTAACGTACATTAAGGTTGACCACACTGGAGAAGGACAAACGAAATCTTGATGAAGGAAGACTATGGGAGGACGTCCAAAACTCGACTGTGCACCTTCGATGTGTCCGTCGTGCAGCGCCATCCAAGCCATGGGACAGCGAGCTCGGCTTTCAGTTGCCAGGCATATAAATTCCCCTCTTCTCGCAGCTCTCTTTCTCCTCAACACCACACTACTTCCTTCGTTTTGCCAGAATTGCAACAACCTGCATGCATGACTGCGGCTCATGGGTCTCCAAAACTATCAAGCCTATTGGAATGTCTCTTCCGCGTCTCGTTTCAAAACCCATACCTCGGGACAAACACTTCAAAAACCATAGCCGATTTTGTGATGAGAGACATCAAAAACGATCGAATGAACTGTACATGGAGTAGAAGACTCGAGCTTTCTCCACGGCACAATCTCAAATCCTAGGAGTGGACTTTCTATGTAGATCGCTAGCGCATCGGTCGTCGTGCACATATACAATCTTCGTCACACACACTCTGCTACGGTGCATCCTCTTGCTACATTTCGCCCTCTTTCCTCCAAAAAATCCTAGCCAGACGTTCGATGACTGGCCTTCGCGTTCAAAAACCAACACGCAAGCCAGGTATGTTGTGGCGCCGTTCGTACGCCCTGATTCTTCGATAAAACTTACTCAGCCATATCCATGTGTGTACCCGTCGCGCTGGCGCTAAGTTCACAACTATCAACAGCGGTTCAATGATGCACCAAAAGAAACACCGGAGGAATTCATGCGTCTTTCCAAAAAAGCAAAACCAAGGCTCCCAAACAACAATAGATAAAGACCCATAATATACACGCTTTTCGTAAATGCAACACACGCCGTGATCATCATGCTATGATACAATCCTCTCCACTTCGATCCGCCTCCCCGCGCCATCAACTCTATTACCCAACTCCGCATACATATCCCAAAGATACTTTCGATGCAGGAAGACTTCTCCTTGCATCTGTACGTCATCGCTCGCATTTTCCATCGCAAGGCCGATCTTCAGATTTACATAGGCTGGTATAGCGGCTAGTAGTTCCCGAAAGAAGGCCTTATGGACGAAGGGGGTGGTGGACCATTCATGGAATTCTGGATGCGACCATTCGTAGTACCGGGGATGGAGCGTGGGGACGATCCGGAGGAATTGTAAAGAGGGAAGTGCAGAGAAGAAAGAAGCCCAGTCGACGTAGCGGTTCATTCGTATAGCGTCTTTCAGCTGGAGCTCAACTTGCAGTCGTTTGACGCGTGATAGGTCCCAACCGTGTGGGATGTCGTAGGTTGGAACGGGGAGTTTGTTGAGGGAGATGGCAAACCAGTTGTTGGTGTACATGCAGTCTGTTGCTTCGCCAGCTAGTCTTTGAGACGCACGGAGGAGTTCCAAGTGCAAGAGTGGTTCTGTTTCGGCTGTTCGGGGACATACTGGGCGTTTTCCTGTCGAGAGTCGCCGTTGGTTCAGTCGTTCTCGTGACTTGAGTGCGGCCAGGCGTTTCTTCCGGTCATTGAGTATGGTCGTTGCGTCGAGGATGGGTAGAGAGCGCGATGTCTTGCGCACGACGAGGTGTGAGTAGACTTCATCCCTGATTTCCTGCGGTAGTTCGAAGAAGCGGAAGGGCCTGCCGTTGGTGATGCGTTGCGTCACCACTGCGTTGGATACGCGACGAGGCCTCCGGGGCGGTATCGTTCTCGGGCGCCGTTCATGCTGTACCCCGTGAAGCGCGCGACTGAGCTCGGCGTCTTTCTTCGAGATATCCCCAGACTCCAGGCCCTTGAGGATGAGTAAACTTGGTAGTAGCTCCTCCAGCATGGAACCTCCCCGACGACGTTGTGGTGCGGCCATCACAGACCAATTGCATAATACAATCTGCTCCTATCAGCCACATGTTGGCGACCATTTTGTTTATGAAGTCGCCTGGACAGGGAAATTGCCTTCATCTTACACTACTGTCAAAATTGCACCAACATGTGGGACCCTGGCTCCCGCGCTGCAGGTCCTGCAGGATCGGAGGTTGCAGGGTGATACCGTGTCGTCGAGGTGTTCGCACCATGTTCAGTACGGCCCTGGTTACCGAGTGACGGGGTCGCAGGATTGTGGTGGAGAGGAGGAGCCGGGCGCGGAGATTGTGGTCCAAGCCGCTGAATCACGACAAGCAATGCGGGAAAGAAGCGGCATCGTCAGCTTTTATTCTGCCAAAACTGTCAGCTATTCTGTCAGCCGTTCCAATATTTGAGATGGTAGCTGCAGTTATTAGGGCGAGTATCGAAGAAACAATAGCAGAAGAAGTAATTGTATTACCGTAGAGTACGGTATAGCGAGGCTATGATGTGTCTTAACAGAGGTATTATAGCTTAGTGTTTCAGCCCAAGAAGATATTGCGCATGGCGGAACGCTTAAGCGAAAGCACTAGAATAGAGAAGGCATTCCCAGGACCTTGGTACGTTCATGCGATCGGTGGTGGGTGATTATCTTGGTGCGTTGCTTCTGGAGGCTACTAGCCGTCTACGCCTACTTTGGCGTGGCGGAAATATTTCATGCCAACCCAGGCCACGACAACCCACACCCAGCTTGTGACTGCCGTGCAAACGATCAATGCGGGATAGTAGCCCGTAATGGGCAGGGTTGCGTCGTCTTCCAAATCGGGTGGAGCATACGGCGTCTCGCCCACGTCCCAAGCCCAGCTCCAGATTCCGAGGCAAGAGCCCATGCCGACGACGAAAACAATCCACGTTGCTATGAGCACGACCCAGCCCCACCACTCCGTCTCGCTGTAATCCCACTCGTCATCGGGGTCAGCCTCGGCAGGTGTCAGGACTGCCGAGATGGAAGTGCGTCGGTTGCTCCGAGTTGAACGGCGGTGTGCAAGAGATGTCGCAGAGCCCTGGTTGGCACCACTGAAGGAGAAGTCATTGCCGGCGGGAGAGGGGCGGTAGAAGGACATGGTGTCGTCTTCGTCGGTAGTCGAGGCGTAAGGCGCGACCGGGCTCGTCATGGGTGATGCAAGTAGTGAAGGAGCAGGCCGTTCAGGACCATCGGGTGGGGTGTAAATAAGCGCGGGTGACGACGGGGACAAACGGGCAGCGGGTAGCCATCCACTGTCGGACGAAGAGTTGAGGGGCGCGTTCTCGTAGCTGAAGCGGCCTGGAGCCGAGCCTTCGTCCGAGGGGTCTAAGCTTGTGGTGGTGGTGATTGTGGGTGTTTTGGCCTTGCGCAGAGAGCTGCTCCGTTCACGCATCTTGGCCATGGCGGCTTTCCTAAGGGATCCCTTTCGCTGCCTCCCTTGGCTCTGGCGGAGGGCAGTCGCGATGGAGGACGCCCTCTTCGCACCTTCCGCATCCTGATCGTGCTCCTCGTCGTTGCCTAGTTGTGTCGACGGCGCCTTCCCCATGGCATCCATGGAGGACCTGAGAAAGGCGCCCAGTATGCCTCCCGACTTGCTGCGCCTATGGCTAGACGCGCCGTCTGCCTCGTGCTTCACATCCGCTCCCTCAGCACGACCCTCACTGCGCGCACCGTTTCCGTCTGGCATGGTTCCCACGTGCGTCAACAGCCATGGAGGACCGAGGTGGTGAATCAAGTGTCATGTTTCGGAGCCAGACCGTCAACGTCAGCGTCATGTTGCGCTCTAGGGTACCAAGGGTAGCGTTCCCTTGCATGCGGGCTAGTCGGGGCCGGATTGGTCGATTCACCGAGTATGGGCCGCCGCATACAGAAGGCCTCCCTCAATTTCCCCTCCACCTCCCGTCCGGGGTTCAACTGCGCTGGTTATCTCGTTAAGCCTGGATTGCGCTGTCGCTAACCGTCACTCATTACCGTCACTCATTTACCACCGTCATGGCCTCGAAAATGCCGCTGCCAGCTCCACCACGGACCCCAACGCCGCCTCCTGACGAGAACGCGCCCCAGCCCGTAGGACTAGGATTCCGAAGCGATCTGGCTATGGGCGATATGGGGCCTAACAACAATGCGCTGCTGTCGCCCATGTCGGCTACGTTTCCCTCGAAGCAGTATGCGACTCTCGGGCCCAGTGACTCAGTTTCGCAGCGGGCGTCGCCGGCGACTCTGTATACACCCGCGAGCGCGACCTTTCCACAGACACCCGCGAGTGCTGCCAGTGGAACCATGGATCTCGACGCGCCCTCTATGAGCGGGTCCGAGAACCCCAATCCCTTCAACTTCCAGTCTATCGCCTACCAGCCTGGTCGACCCCAAACAAAGGCCAATGTGCGTTCTTCTATATAACCCGACGCGCTTATACTAACTTTCGCAGGATATCGGCCGACGACGAGGACACAAGTACAAGCACAGTAGTGTATCGCATCAGATCTTCCTAGAACCCGCACCGCGCGCCCCGCTCCAGCTCCCCGCCTCGCTCCCGATCCCGACCTTCAAAGAGTATCGCTCGTCCATGTCCAAGGATCAGAAGTTGAGGCTGGCATGGTGTTTCTGCCATTTGGTAGTCGCTGGTCTCGTACAGTGGGGCGCGCACGAATCCCTGGCTCTCACAGTGTTGTCGCGACTGATCTTCTACGATGCGCTCGGCGCATTCCTGTGTGTGGCCGTTGACGTTGGATCCAACTTCGAGGTATGGAAGCGATCAAGCATACGACACCCGTTTGGCTTTGAGCGTCTGGAGGTTATTGCAGGACTAGGCATGTCTGTTGGGCTACTGTTCATGGGACTGGACCTCATATCGCATGGGTTGACGCACGCGCTCGAGAACAGTGGAGGACACGAGGCCCATCATGCAGACACGCATGAACGAGTATCGCCTGGCAGCATTGATCTTGCTGCCTTGTGTGGCATTGTCTCGACACTCGTCTCGGCAATCCTGCTGAAGAACCATGCGCGCATCGGCAAGGTCATGAGGCTGAGCGCCATCGCTAACCTACCCTCTGTGCTGAGCAACCCTTCGCATTTTCTGACATTGTCGTGCTCGACACTGCTCCTTTTACTGCCATTGCTGAGCATTCAGATGTACGTGTGGCTTGATCGGACCCTTTCATTTTCAGTAGCGTTCTCCATGGTAGCGCTGGGGTGGATTCAGGGATGGACGCTGGGGAAGATGCTGCTCATGTCCTACTCGGGGCCCGGCGTTTCGGACATTATGTACGACCTCGAGACGGACCCAGCTATCAGGGCGGTCGAAGAGGCAAAGTTCTGGCAGGTACACTACGGCCTCTGCCAGGCGAACCTCAAACTACGAGTGCGGAATTTGGAAGAAATTGGGCGCCTGCGCGATCGCATTGGCAGTATGGTGCGGAACCGCTTGGGCGGCGGATACGGGAGCGGCGGGCACAGATGGGAAATTTCGACCCAAATTACACTCGAGAAGGACTGAGGACGCTGGGCGCCGTTGCATATCCGCGATTAGATTCTGCAATAAATCTTCGAACCCCTGTGGCGGGATCATCTCACTAAGACTCAACCGCAGCCCGAACGTTGCCCCAAAAAGCAGTGCGACGCCAGAAGTTGGTCGACTACGAACATACTTTTGCGGCAGCGCAACGCTGCATGATAGCAGTGCACCCGCTGGTTCCGATGGCAGGTTTGCTGCGGAAAAACGACATCATCTGCGCGTGTGAGACAGCTGGCATCGACGCCTGACGACGGCCCCTGGGCCGACTAAAAGCCTTAGCGAGAGCCCTGCCGACGCTTTCGATCAACAGGCACCCAGTGCGCGCACACCGCTGGCGGCTTGCCCCGTGCGACTGGCCGACTTTGGTCTGATCCGGCTTGGGCTGCCTGCAGGTGCTTGCTGTTCGCTCGTCACGCCCACCGCAACTCTCCACACACCCGTTCGCTTTTGTGCGTCGCCTGCACAGCGTCCTGAAGTTTTGCGAGAGCGTGAATGAGCCTGTGACCTGCGCGGCTGGCAGAAGGCAGATAAAATACCGCCCGCATGCCCTGGCTGGGCATGGCGAGAGGACGCGATGACCGGGCCACACGACACCGTGACGACGGCGAATATCTCGACGAGCGAGAGCGGAGGCACCGGCGCCGCCACAAATCCCGCGACCACGACGACGAACCCACAGCTTCCACACGCGAAAGGAGAGAGCGCCGACGGGCAGAGGAGGCAAGGAGACAGGCCGAGGTCGACATTGAGGACATCCGGGCGCGCAGAGAGTCGTACTACTCACGCAACGAGGCTGAGAAGAGGCGCGACCGCGATCGCGTGGTATCAGACAGCAAACGCACACCGGCCAAGGAAAAGCCACGGAGCAGCCGTGAGAAGGAAGTGCGACGGGACAGCACGCGGAAGCCCAAGAGAGCAGTGATACCTGATGACCACGACGACTTCGTCTTTGGCCGCCCCAAGTCTATGGGTCACGTTGAGGAAGTCCCTGTGCGACGAGCATCTGGGCGCAAGCGAAGCGAGGAAGGCGGCTCTTCTAGCAGGACTGCCTACACTCCGCATTCAGGTTCTGGGTCTGCGTCAGTCCGCAGGGTCGAAGTTCCGCCATTGACCAGGTTAGTCCCGTCTCCACTTGTACACGTAGCTCAGCTAATGAGGGCCAGGAATTCATCTACACGCGAGCCAAAAGCACATACTTCGGCCAGAGAACGAGAGCCCAGGCCGACAGTACGACGCAGCAACACTGTCAAGTCGCCTCCCCCAACGCCACTCACCAGGACGCAGTCGGTCAAGGATGCTGCCCGTCGCAGCACCGGGGGCATCTTGTCAAGCTTCTTCTCCAAGGCGGCGCCTCCAGTTTCGCGAACGCCTTCGCGCAAGGCTGAAGAGAAAACGTTAGTATCCCCGTCACGTTACCCCTACAAAGCTAACCTCGATTAGGGTCGACTGTCTCGTGTGCATGAACGATGACCTACCCATCACCAAGACCGTCAAGCTCGCATGTGGCCATCGCATGTGCTACTCGTGCCTCAAGCGCCAATTCACCCTTTCCGTAAAGGACCCTGCTCACATGCCACCACGATGCTGCACCTCAGAGCACATCCCATTGAAGTATGCCGACCGTCTCTTCGATGACAAGTTCAAGGTCCAATGGAACCGGAAGTTCCAAGAGTACACGACTGCCAACCGCCTATACTGCCCCACGAAAGGGTGCGGCCAGTGGATCAAACCTTCCAAGATCAAGATGGACCCGACATACGGACGCAAGTATGCACGCTGCAGCACGTGCAACACCAAGGTCTGCGTACTCTGCAACAGCAAGTTCCACACGAAGCGCGAATGCCCCAAGGATGAGGAGACCAACCGCCTGGTAGAGATGGCCAAGGAGAAGGGCTGGCAGCGATGCTACAGCTGCAAGGCTGTAGTCGAGCTGAAGGAAGGTTGCAATCACATGACCTGGTACGTTCATTATATCACACTCACACAACACTATCTAACAACATCCCAGCCGCTGCACAGCACAATTCTGCATGGTCTGCGCCGCCCCATGGAAGACCTGCAGCTGCCCCTGGTTCAACTACCAACACATCCCCGACGGCGACCAGCTCAACGACATGCGCGTCCCCTACCCGCAACAAGCCCGCTACGCCGATGTTGAAGTCATCGAAATCCCCGACGAGCCCTCGCCACCCCTTGCCCGCCGACCCAGTGTCCGCACCCCACGCAACCGCAGCGAACGCGACCTCCCCCGACCCGAATCCCGCCGCCTGTCCGCTCACCTCCGCGACTCACTGCACCTCAACCCCACGCCCACCGTCTCTTCCATCCGCCGCACCGAGCCCGAGGTGCAAATGTACGGCGTCGGCAACGCAGGTGGCCACCACATGAACGACTCGTACGCCATCCGCTCCATGCCCGCCTCTGTTGCGCGCACCGCAGCCCGCACATCCACTCCACGCACGTCAACCCCACGTGGCGCCTTCTTTACCAGCAGCAGCACACGCCGTGCTGCGCCCGCCCCTGCCCCCGTTGCCGCCCCTCGCGTCCGACCCGCATCCACACCTGTCGTCACCTCATCCACTATGGCCGGTCTCTCTCGTGACGGCCGCAAGGTCGGCCAGAACCGTGTGGGCACCTGGCTCACTCACGTCCAAATCGACCCCGAAGCTACCAACACAGCTGCCCGGGATGTCGAGGTGGATGACTGGAGGTGCGATGGTACCATGATTGGTATCGACTAGATCATATCGCATTCTATTGCACACATAACGACCGGCGTTTTTTTGCTTTCGATCTGGGTTTTACATCTCCTTCTTAGTCGTCACGCTTCCTCTTCTTCACTCAGCATCTATTTTCTGGGCTTTGCGTTTTTGGGATTTATACATCGGATTGTTTTTCTCTCTCTCTCGGTTATTGGGTTGGTCATTTTGAGCTTTGGGAATGTTTAGAGTTACCCTTCTCCCTCCTTTTTATCTTTCGCGGGCGAAATACCGCGAAAGGTTCTTTTTCTTTTGTGTGTATTAGTCGTGTTGATTAGCGGTTTTTGGATAGCATTTAGCCGGCAAGATACCCACCCTTTACGCCCTCGTTTAATCAGTTATTTTATTGTGTTAATGCTATTGTACACCTTTTTGTTCAACTTCAAAAGTGTTTGAGATTGTCTTGCTATGGGCGATGTAATGTGATGTAGTTTAGCGGGAGTTGGGGAAAGGTCAAAAAGTTGTTTGTCGTAGAGTACAGTAATGGTATTGCTATCCACGTCATCCTTTTGCTACAAATCATCTGACAGTGTTTACACCAGTCTTATTTCAAAGGCTGTACGGTTGAGTGATAACAGGCCCACTGTAGCGCAGTGATTTGAAACACTTCCATCAAATTCTTTCTAAACATGTTTGATAATTTAGACATCGTGTTTGAATATCAGCCCAACTATGTGTGCGGAGCCAAGACAACCATGAGGCTACCTAAATCTACGCCTCACACCAAGAAGTGACTGAGAAGTTCTGCAGCCTACACTAGGGTCAAACGTGCAGGTTAGGAAACATAGCGAGTATCCATCTTCTTCCTCGATTGGAGTGCCTACGCCATCGCCCCTCAACTCCCCATCCTAATCGTAACCACCTCCCCGAGCAAGTAAGCCAAAGGAGATCCTGAGATCCACCTCGTCATCGTGAGGCGTATGCATCGTACGTGGCACCAGCGCAATGGCTGTCACATTCGCTTGTCCTCTCGCTTGATATGTACAAAAAAAAATGAGGCACTGAGCAGAGAGGGGTAACGGACCTACTCTTCCCAGCCCCCCTTCAACCCTGTACCCTGATCGTCTACTGAGCGGTGAAGCCCGTTGGAAAGTGCAAAAGAATGACAGAAATGGCAAAAAGAATGGTTCGAATAGTCTTGAGCAGGCTCAAGCACGGTGATTGTCCCCTTCGTGGATCGAACACGATACCTCCAGATTTAGTGACTGATGACTTCAGTCTGGCGCTCTCCCAATTGAGCTAAGGAGACGGTTTCTTGATGGAAGTCTGCTACACTGCAACAAATATATCGCGGCGAATTGTACTTCTCCAAGAGCTTCGATCGAACAGGATTGGAAAATGGAACTTCGTAACATTTCTCTGCCGTGTGTGGAGTTAATGTCGTTGACTAAGAAGGATGACGGTTAGTGTACCGAGGCGCACCCATCGCAAGTCCACCAGCTCCACAGCATCACCCCAACATCTTTCCGCGCAAGAGCTCCCACACCACCACAACGCCGTCGCGCTCGTTCCCACCCCACTCCAACTCTTCCAAAATGCAACCCTCACCCCTCGCAAACCCATTGGCAACCGTCGCCCAGCTCGAAACCTCCGGCTCGCAACTCGATGGCATCCCACCCACGCTCGAAGACTCCATCCGCTTCGCGGGCGCGCGCCTCACGCAAGCCGCCGGCATACTCCTCCGCCTCCCACAAGAAGTAATCGCGCAAGCCATCGTAATCTTCATGCGTTTCTGGCTCGGCCCCGAAGGCGGCAGTCTCGCTGAATTCGGCGCGGAGCAAGTCTCAGCCGCGTCGCTGTACCTTACCACGAAGCTCTCTGCGTACCCAAAGTCTGCGCGCAGTCTTGTGAACGTATACGCGTATCTCGATTCGCTGCCGGTGACGTACTTCGATAGCGAGGATTTGAAGCGAACGGGCGAAGACGCAAAGGGATACTACGTCAGCGAGGGCACATACGAGCGCCGCCGCGCAACGCTGTTTACAACCGAACAACGCATCCTGCGTACCCTCGGCTTCAACACGCACGTCCAACTCCCCTACACACTATGCATTACATACATGCAAGCCCTCGACATCTTCAGCCACCCACGCGCCTCCGAACTCGCGAAACGCGCAATCGCGCATCTCAATACCGCGCTCTTGAGTCCGCAGTGCCTTTACCTGACGCACCAGCCGCATGAGTTGGCGACGGCGGGGATTTATCTTGCGGCGAGGGAGACGGGGATTAAGATGCCCGAGTGTGAGTGGTGGGAGGTGTTTGATACGGATAGAGAGGTACTGGGTTTCCTGTGCGTGGGACTATTGAGTTTGGAGGGGTGGGTGAGGAGTGAGAGGGAGAGGTGGGAGGGAGGGAAGGTGCCGATAAGTGTTGAGGGGGTGGAAGCGGAGGTTAGGAGGATGCGAGAGGAGAAAGAAGCTTGAAAGACGCGATACCGTTTGCTCTCACCTTGGACCTCACGGAATACCTATCATGAACACTAAGGACCTCGCATAAGTCCTTTACACGACTCTCGAAGATGCGCGACGAATCTCGGAAATCACACACTGTTCGCGATGTTGCGCAAACTTCTGGAGAACACACCATATCTTCACGATGTTTCTCGTATGCAAACAACGTGAGGATTTGAAGAGCAAGGCGACCGTACGGAGTAATTCGATATATTCCCGCTACTACCGTCGACTAACACCCACATCAAATCGACATGGCATTGAGAGAAACACCACTTCAGAAGGTCGTGATGCCGTTTGAAGATTTTCTGAAATGGAGTAGTGACCGCGATATTGAAGTGCGATATGATCGGTTCGTGAACGACAATGGGTATGAGCAGCGCATCACCCGTCTACCGTCAAGCTCGGGCAGTCAACAAAAAGGGTCTTCACATACGGAAACTGGAAAGCACCGAAGTGCGCCTGCACGGCTGGAAAGAACACATGAGGGTTATAGCATCGAGAGAACCCCGTACATCATTATGGATGCCCCACTCGACAGCGTTAACGACCATGACGCTGTTCTTGGCCCTCGCAGTAACCCCGTGAGACTGAGTCGCAAAGCTGCTGTGAAGCGCAACAGCACGAAAGAGAGAAGGACCGAGACTGAGAGACACGACAGTACGATGCAGAGCACCCATGTCCGCGCGAAGACTTCTTCCAACGTTCCAGTTATACGAATCACTGCGAGTACGCCTCCCATTTTACGCCGCTTTAGCTTCGATGAAACACCCGGTGAGCTCTTGTTTAATATCGGCAAGCTCTCCGACTCGCCTGATTTCGAAGATGTTCCGCTCAGCCCGGTGGCGTGTCCAGAGATGGGACACCACACATCACCGTCCCTAGGGACAGACCAGCACGTACGGGAGCCGACCGATCCGTCTCAACAGCAGATACCTGTTCAGACATACTCAAGCCATGAAGCGACCGGGGAGGAGCGAGAGGAAAGCATGGAAAATCAGAAGGTGGGGAGAGAGCAACGCCGTGTTCCGACGACCTTCGATCAGATACTAGGAGAGAAGAGAATTCCTACCGCACTGTTGTAGTTGTGTAGAAGAAGATCGAACATCAAAGCTCAATCATCTGGCTATGGCAAACACCATCTCGCCGACAGCCGAACACATGCCTTCAAGATGAGCAATACGCTGTACATCGACACGTGCTTGAATCCAAACGCAACTTCACAACGCAATCGCTTGCTACAATGTACATCTTCACCTCATTTTTCCACATTACTCTCGCAACAGCTGGGTGAGACTGTTCTCTTCTCGAAGTAAGCCATTGTGGTACTAACACAATGTATTGTGTCTCTGCCCCATACCTTCACTCTGCATCAGCATACTCCCAGTTGTAACGCATACTACTATCTAGACCTCATATTAATAGATCACTAATACCCTACTATCTACTCCTCTTCAGATAGAGCAATAGCTCACCACCCATAGACACAGCCATGCCACGCGCCCTAGTCGCCCTACCAACAGGAACCCAAGCATCATGGCTCGACCTCCTCCTCCCCTCTTCCTCCCCACCCAAGCCAAAGCGCCAACCCCGCGCAACACCCCAAATGCTGCTCCGCATCTCCGCTCTCCACCACTCCCTCACCATCATAAAACACTCCCTCATAACCCGCACACACATGCACAACCTCTACCGCACCCTCGGCGCCTACTGCATTACCTGCACACCCATCTCTACGCGCGGCCGCTGCGGTCCCACATGCCCCCTTCTCCGTCCCTATACTTCCAGCTGTGCGTTTTACGGCGCGGTGGAAGCGGATAGGGGGTGGGTGAGGCGGTTGGTTGCTGATAAGGCGAAGTATAGGGAGATTGTTGGCGATATGACAACTAGGGGTACGGCGGTTTATGCGGCTACGGTTGCAAGGTGGGAGAGGGTGGTACGGGGGCTGAGGGAGGGGTGTGAGGTGCCGAGTGAGAGGTGGGAGAAGGAGGGGTGGCCTAGTGGGAGGGGGAATGAAGGGGAGGGGGTGGTGGTGTTTAGAGAGGGGTGGAGGTTTGAGAGGGCTTGGAGAAGGGGGGTGATGGTGGGTGGGGGTGGGGGTGTGGCGCCTGAGGTGAGGTGTTTGGTTTTGAGGGGGGTTAAGAGGAAGTTTGAGGAGTACGGTGAAGGAGATGGTGGAAAGGAGAAGCATGAATTGTTGGAGGGTAGTAGGAAACGTGTTAAGCGTGTGTAGCAGTGTACCTTTGGTGAGCTGGGTATAAGTAAGTTTTCTGGTAGAGTTCTGCAAAAGCTACATTGCTGATGGTACAGTCTCATTGACTCAATGACACATACATCTGACTCCAGCAGTCCAACTTGTTCCTCAGAAGTGCGCGATAGCCTTGGTGTTCTTTCGATGCTCCCGAAGCAGAACCACAAGCTCGTTGTCATCAGGGAGGCGCCTCATCAATGCTCTTGCTGGCGTCCCGAACGAGTCGCCTTTGTCGGGGTCGGCACCATGCTCCAATAGCCATTTAGCCGTCTCGTATCGCTTCCGGCGGAGAGCACAGTGTAGTGATGTGCCTTCACGTCCGCAACACTCGTCTGGTATAGGTGGTCCACTGTCCATACCGTGGATGTCGAGGCCTAGCTCTCCGACGAGATACTCAAGCATTGAAATTCTGTTGTCGCTTATACTACCCGCTGCACGGTGGAGCGGTGTAGAGTTGGATAGCACAGCACCATGAGCGAGCAATAGAGCGAATATCTCTGGGCTACAGTGTACGGCTGCGCTATTGAGTGTGTGGCCACAGTTGGATATGGGACGCATATTCACCGCTGGCGCTGTTATCTTCTTCGGTGGCCCGAGGTTGGGGTTCGCTCCTAGTTTAAGAAGTAGTCGAATGCTCGGTTCGTCGTTTTCTTGAACAACGAATCTATTCCTAATAAGCTAATTGATGAAGTTGCAGTTGCCGTGCAGACTTACAGGAGGAGAGTAGCACCGCGGGCTACGCTGGTATTGACGTCGTAACCAGACTCTATCAACCACTTCACCGTTGCGTGGGATCTGGATGCAAGATGCACTGTGCGCGTATCCCATTTGGCACCTACTCCAAGCAGCTGGCTGGCTAAGGCGAGATGTCCGCGCTCAACAGCTCGGTTGAGGCCATATGTCAACATCCCAAGCTCGCGATCCGGTGCCAGTTCTAAGGCAATGGCCGCGTCATTATCCTCGCACGACTGCAGAAAGACTGGGTAGTATGAGTCGGTTTCCGAGTTCTTGGTAATAGCACGTGCGGCATGCGGCGGCATGGTGAAATCGGGTGGTGGTGCACAGTGTGCCCAGGTGAGGAACGAAGCGGGGTGAGATCAAGCGACAGTTTCGATTGCTCGCTCATTCGCGATCGCGATATAAATACATCTGACTGGCCCCCCGTAGGATTGCCGTCTTCATGCGGCGTATGTGGTGTAGTGTTTCAGATACTACTTAAAAACGATGGATGGCCATCTGGGGTCGCCATGGGGTTAGCGCCGGACTCGTGGTCGTCCGTGCGGCCTGCAAGTGGTAGTCGCACTCATCCTCGTCACCTTCGAATCGCTTCCTTCTGTTCAACATCGACATCTCCCTCTCCTAACTCTACCACTCCATCTAGTGGATTCGCATTCGAAGTACACCTGGCATTCCGCTGGCACAGCAACGTCAGACAAGTCACAAACATGGTGAATTGCATCGTCAAATCAGCCCCCATGGCCATCAGCGTCTGGTCTCGACAGAGTATGACGCTACGCCACGGGCCAAAACCTCTTCGGGGACCAAACATCCGTCTCTTTCTTTGCTTGGATTCGCTAGCCGATCTGACAACATCGCTCCTTCGCAACACCGCTGCTGCGCGGCGCAGAAATGGACAGCGAGACGCAAGGCAGGATACGTGTCCTTAGTCCCGAGTTTAGAACATCAACAAAAATCCTCTGCAAGAGCTTCGGACATGTAGAAAATCACTACATGGAGGGTATGCAAGATTATCTAAATTGGACTGTAGGTGGATGAAAGCGCAAGCACGCTGACCATCCAGATGACACATAAAGCTGAACAAAGATCATGATTCTAGGAGCTTTCAAAGTACTCTCCCCATCGTTCCATTCTTCCTGTATCATTACGTCGTCATGAAACCCCTACACCGCGGTAATGCATTTGCTTTACTTTTCTCCCATTCGGCATTCATCGAGGCACAGATCAGTACGGGTACCGGAAGCAGCAGCGTGATCTTCCAGAGTGAGGCCCCATTCCCGGTGCCGGCCAACAGCACAAGTACCCCTATCGTCAAACCTTCCACTCCACTCAATGGACCACATACGACGGCTTCCTCGAGCCTTCCCTTCACTAGTCTCTCTTTGGCAACGCAGACGAACGATACCGTCGTGGATACCAGCACAATTGCATCTTTGTCGAAGGCCTCAACAGGAGGACTTACTACCTCTTCCCAACCTTCCGGCCCCCCTTCAGTCTCGTCTATCACTTCGTCTTACACTCCATCCCCAGTCTCGTCGAGTACCGCCACATTTCCACCAGCGGTGTCCAGTGCTAGCAATCTAACGACTATACCAAGTTCCGCTACGGGAGTTACAACCAGTGGTGGGACAAGCCTCTATTCAACCGTACAGCCTACTGTAGTCAGTTCAGCGTCCAACACTGCCTCAACAATACTCGCAACATCAGATAGTCCAGTGCTTCCTCCCGGAATCACCATTCCTCCTTTGCCAGTTACTACCTTGGTACCCACTGGAACCGAAGTCCAGTCGAGTGCGTCGGATCTATCCGTAGCCATCTTGGGCGTTTTTCCTATTCTCCAAAACTGGATAGAAGATCCTGTCGCTCATGTCGCCGAGGTGACAGACGAGCTGGACAATATCATACCCGACGCAGTTGGCTTCCTGGCCAAGCTACCAAAGCCAACAGACGGAGTTGAGCCATGTGGGTCTGGAAAACGCCGAAGAAGCGAACGAGATCATGAATTGCACGATGTTCTCAGTGAACGCGATTTACTCGGCGGGTTGTTCAAGACAGCATTCTCGCTCGTCAACTGTGTCATCAACACTACCAACAAGGTGAAGGATGCAGTTATCGGCGGAACGACAGCCGCAGTGGATACTGTCAAGGGCTTACAAGATGACCTCAAGCCGTTGCTCGATGCTCTCAACGAAGTGATTCCAGACGAAGCCTCCGAGTCATCTGAGACTGAAGAACCTACGCAGACTTCCTCCTCTACATGCACTCTAACGACCGTTAGCAACTGCAACATTGCATGTACAGCGACTGCAACTACGACCAAAGGAGGGCCAAACAAGCGGGCGCAAGGTGATGTCTGCACCACAGTCTGCGGTGCACCTATCACCAAATGCGATGTTACTGGTTCCACTTCTTCATCCACAGTTACGTCCACAACAACGGCTACTCGACAGAAATGCGCCCCCGACTGCGACAACTGTAGTGGGAAGGTGCGAAGACTGGCGACTAGCGTGCCTGCACCGACCGAATTTCCCACAGCTTTGGAAAGCATTGCTACTTCATCAACCTCGACCATCGCTGTATCGCACTTGCGCAAGCCTCAGTTGAGTGCGGAAGGGCTTGCACCAGTGGAAACCGGTCACCCTACTAATCATATCTCGAAGCGAAGTCTTTCGAGCCCGTATGGGCCTGGAAAAAACGGTATGTGGCTTGTTTAATAGCTGGTTGTATCATCTTAAAGCTATCGGAAGCTACTGCCATGCATCGCCCATATGTAATACTCAGCTTCCACTGACGTCGACTAACTCTATTAGGTGATGTTGGGGCATGGCTCCTTGATCAGATCAACAACAGTCTTAACCCTTACGGCTCTCTTGAACAGGGCCGAGGAACGACTGGGCTGACGTTCCCACTGGAAGATACAGCGGACGATTGGCACCTGGTCAACCTATGGGGTTGCACATCCGTCGTGGTCATCTCCCGAAAACGCATGTTTCTTACCCACATCTGGGAAAAACCTTCCATGGAACAGCCACAGCTTTTCCAAAGTGATGTATTGGATGTTCTCCGAAATGGTAGTCCGGAGTTTTCCCACCCCCTTACAGTTTTCACTGTGCCCGGCGAAGGCTTCGAAAACATTGCAGAAAACAAAGTACGTGCGTTCATCATTACGCCGTATAGAGATTTTGCTATCAACCCGGCCAGTGACGACATTAACTATCCATACGAAGTAGACAAGATCAAAAATCTGTTAAACAACATCCTTGGACGGAATGACGCACTAATCATACCCTACTCTCCGGCTGAGGAAAATAATCGGGATGATCTGACCCCGAAAGGCAAGCTTTACATTCAATATGACCCCGTGACAGCCGCTCGCGTACCAGCAGAAGGCGGTTGCAATCAGCAGCAAGTTGCGGCGATAGAGCTTTGGTTTGAGGATGCTCCCACCTACCGTTATAGAGACACATGGCAGCCATTCCCAGATCAGGTTGTGCAGGCAAAGAAACGGTCCGTCGCATCCAGTGGTAAAGACCTGCGCTTACTCAGAGGAAGAGAGGTGACGGATGCGGACGAAGCAGAGTGGAAAGAGTACGAGGCTTTGATGAAACGTCAAGATGGCGACACTTGTGCTCGACCTAGCAACAGCTTGTCGGTATCCTCGGTATCACCCATCCCATCACCAGCTTCGACCGTACCTACTCCGTCCACCTTCCAGACAACGATCAGGCCGTCATTGAGCGACTCAACCGGCGGAAGCTCAAGCCCAAGCCCATCGCCCTCGTCGATAGCCACATCACCATCGTCACAGTCTTCCATGACGTCGGCAACTCCGTCTCTTACTTGGGCACCGGCCCAACCTAGCACGACGAAAACACCTTCAGCAGTGCCTAAGCCATCCCCTGCATCGCAACCTCCGCCACCACCTCAAACCGAGCCTCCAACGAAGGCATTATCGGTGATCTTCAGGAACACAAAAGGCAGTGACGAAGACTACAACAACTGGACCTTCTTCGAGATCAAACCGAACATGCAGGCGGACGGCTGCAGCGTTCCCGTACTCAACGACGTCTCGCGGCAATGGTCGGATCCCTCTGCACTATCAACTCCACCGTGGCCGCACGGCACTTTCACAATGCCTCTATTTGGGGAAGAGGACTGCGAGTACCAGAGCGACGGAACTAATCCGGGTGTGCTCCATTGTCCTAGTATGGGATTAGGGAAGACTGTGGGATGTAAGAAGGCTGATGAGAAAGACAACCCTGATGATATCACAGATTGTCAATATCCGGGTCTAGAGAGGAAGATTCATATTGTTGTTTATTGTCAGTGGTAGGATAGCCCATTCTTGGGACTACGAGTCTTTTGTGCACATGCCGGCGATTGTCGCTCCAGTAGTGATGGCTCGCTGCTCGCTCCGTGTTGTCGCAAGCCATTGGCATGTATTCGGCTACTGCAAAAGAGAAGCTTGAGATGCAATGCGCCTCTCCGTCACCATAACAGGCTCCAATGTCCCACAAACAAGGTCTTATCTACACTAAACAGCGGCTGAAGTGCAGTATTATGTGAATGGCTGGTGTTTGAGAGGCTAGCTGATCGTCGCTGCGGCACTGCAGATGTGGTTATGCGAGCCTCCTGTGACGTGCGTTGCGGCTGGAAGCTTAGCACTTGAGGAAACCATGACGTCAACAACGACCTTGGACTTATTGCAGCTCCAGACCCTACGTTTGGCGGGCAACCTCAACTTTGAACTACACACCTCACAACACAGGAATCTTTGTCAGTTTCAATTGCATCTCACCAATTCACATCATGAGCTTCCTACGACCCATGTCAATGCTGCGCTCGGCAGCACTACGGCCCGCAGCCCTCTCGGCGGCTCCCCGTGCCCGCGTCCAAGTTCGTTTCGCGACTTCAGATTACGGCTCTGGTAAGGGCAACCCAGCTGGAGAGAAGCCCGAGAAGCAGGGCGCAAACCCCAGCGAGAACCTCGAGCACCCCGGCCCCGCACCTCCCAAGGTCGCCCAGGGCAAATCTTCGTCGTCGCCGAACAAGGACAGCAACGCCAGCCAGAATGACTCTCCCAAGCCCACATCCGAGTCACCGGCTCCTAAGAGCTCTTCCGGCAAGCGCGAGTTCTCGACATCGGCCCGCCAGATGAAGGACAACAAAGAGCCAGCCGTTAAGCAGGGCCAAGACAACAAGCCCTCGCCCAACGAAGTCAAAGGTGCGAAACCCAAAATACTCAACGAAAACCCGCCGGCTTCTGAAGAGCAGAGCGAGGACGTCAAGCAACACAACAAGGACATGGATAACAGGGCGGAACAGGCGCATGAGAAGGTCAGCAACGAAGAGGCAGAGAAGGACAAAGTCCCCGGCGGCTTCTGGAAAGGTATGTCATAGCTTGACGAAGGGCATTGGCATGTTGCTAACACATTTACAGGCGAAGGTGGACGAAGCGGCTCCGAAGGCGTACGAGGATAAGCAAGGGGCGGGTGAATGTTCGGACAAGATGAGCATGGTGTACAATTAGCTGAATTGACTCGTAAAAGTGTCATGAAATGTACAACATTCATCAAGCATAAGCAGCCAGAGATATCGCGTCCTGTGCTATCTATCCATCGTCGGAGCGCTGAAAGTAGGCTTGGCTTCATAAGTTTTGTGCATGTTTGGGGATGACGTAGGGGGCTAGCGTGTGGATCGCCCCCGCATTTGTCGACGTGATGGGATTTTTTTGAAATGCCATCGCGACACAACGCCCGGCAGAGGGGCGCTATTTCGCACGACTTGTGCCACGATGATGCTCTCTGCCCTTTCAAACAAGAGTGACAGGCCTCGGAGCTCTCTTACTGCGAAAACGTCAAGCATATGCAGGGCCTAGACCGTGCTCCTGAAAGGCGATCTCACAATTGCGCACAGCCAAAAGACGCGGTTGCATGTGGCCATAGCTCCTCATTGGCTGCTCTGCGAGGCAGGCGCGTTGGGGATCTTGTTTGCCCAAGCTCCATACGTGCAGCACTACGTCACTCGCACGCACACAATCTACCCGCCATTGTCTGTTCCCTCCCCTCATAAACTCGCTGCCCACCACTACCCTCTAGCCCTCACCCCTCTGCCGAGTTTGCCTACCCTTCAAACCCTCGTCTTTGCTTCATTAATCGATATCAAGCACATCCTCACATCGGCAGCCACACATCATGAGGTTCTCCCTTACATCCACCTTCGTGGTGTCCCTTGCTGCCACGGCAACGGCCAACAGCTGGTTTGGAAGCGCCGGTGCGTATAGTACATAACCCCTCCCGTTTGTTTTGATTTGTCCACAGCGCCACGCAGCAGTATACTGACGCCAGGAAGCAGTCTACGACAAGTGGCACGAGACCGAGCTTGAGCGCTGGCTCAGCGACCACGGCGTTCCCCACCCCAGCCCCTCGGACCGCAAGAACCTCCAGTCGACTGTCAAGGCCAACTGGAACGACAAGGTTGTCACTCCCTACACCAGCTGGGATGCGCAGACCCTTCAGAACTACCTCACCCTCAAGGGCCAGCAGGCGAAGAAGGGCACCGAGAAGGACGCCAAGAGCCTCGCTGAGCAGGTCAAGGTGTACTGGACCGAGACCGAGGACTCCGCGAACCAGGCCTATGGTAGTGTCAAGGACTGGATCTTCGACTCGTGAGTAACAAGAAACCTGCCCTCAGCACAGCTACTAACAATATGCAGTTGGTCCGACTCCCAGCTTAAGGCCTTCGCCGATAAGCACGGCATTCCCGTCCCCCAGCCCCGCCAGCGTGACTCTCTCCTCGCTGCCGTCCGTAACAACTACCAGTCCGTAGCCGAGAAGGCCAAGGAGACTGCCAACTACCCCGGTGACTGGCTCTACGCCTCCTGGTCTGACTCTGACCTCAAGTCTTGGTTCGATGAGCGCGGCTACAACGTCCCCCAGCCCAACACCCGCGACTCGATGATCGCTGCTCTCCGCCGCCAGTCTCGTCTTGCCAGCCAGCAGTCCCAGAGCGCCTACGCTTCCGTCTCTTCCGCTGCTGCCAACGCCCAGCAAAGCCTCAGCGACGCCCTTCTCGACTCCTGGTCTGACAGCCAGATCAAGGAGTGGGCTGACAAGAACGGTATCAAGGTTCCCCAGGGCTCCAAGCGCAACGAGCTCATCGCTCTCGCCCGCAAGCACCGTGCCCGCCTTTACGGTGACAGCGCCTCTGCATCTGCTGGCTCCGTCTCTGCCTCTGGTGCTTCCGCTTACGGTGCTGCTACCTCCAACGTCGGCCAACAGTACGCTGCTGCCACCGGTGGCTTCGCCTACTACACCGACTTGATCAAGCAGCAGATTGGTCTCGCTCAGGCCAGCGTTACCTCCGCTACCGACGCTGCTGGATCCAGCGCCAGCTCTGCTTCCGTCCGCGCCGCTTCCAGCGCCAGCTCCCTCAGCGGCGCTGCTGGCAAGGCCGCGTCCTCCTCCTCATCTTCCATCTCCAAGTCCGCTGCCAGCGCTAACGCCGCTGCCTCCTCCTCCGCCTCCAGCGCCTCTTCGGTTGCCTCCAAGTCTGCTCAGAGTGGATACGATGCCGCCGCCGCTAGCGCCAGCTCTGCTAAGCAGGAGTTGTAAGCACCCCACAACAAGCGACAAGTAGCGTTCAGTCACATCTTCTCTCGATGTGACTGCCATACGCATCACTTCACGACCTTACGATCTGCGTACGGATAGGCGGAAAATGGAAACCTGTAACATTAGCATCACGACGATATCCCCTCTGCGACCTCCTTGTAGGCTTGAGGAGGGTCTTGTAGTTTTTCTTATTCCTTCGGAATTGGGATGGATGGATGGCGTCTCACGTAGCTTAGTATGCGCTTGATAATAAAAAGTATAATTGCAATGTTGTTCAGATGGTGATTTGTGATTGATGTATGATGTGATTCTATTATGTCGTACTGTCTGAGTTGCTGTGTCGTCACTATCTGAATGATGATGATGGTTATCATCACTTCACTTCGCATCAAGTCTATGAATTTGTCCTAGGTCGTACAGAACATTCGTAGCTCGTAGAAGGATTTTACACACCACCATCAGGGTCATCAACGTGAGATCCATTTTTTTTGATCACATCTGCGATCCCAGTGGTTTGAACGAGGGAATAACAATACTGGACTTGCAGGGTCTCTTATAGTCTGCTATCGTCACGGCAGCGCGAGCCATGTGCCTACTTGAAGACGAGCTTTCGAGGATGAAGAGGCGGAGACGACCGCAGAAAGCGACATGTTGTTAAAGGCGCGTTGGTTTTGGAAGCACACATGAGAGTTGGGTGGTTCATTTTTGGTATTTTGTGGTATATGCTGAGCACAGACACATGTATTTGACGAGATTCGCTTTTTTGTGTTGTATGCTGCAGCTCGGAGGAGCTGGAACTCCCCATGTTCTAGTTTCAGGAGTATTTGATATATCGCCGGAGAAGGAAGTTCTCCTCATGCAAACGTAATGCGGGTGTTTTTGATGTTTCGTCGAAGAAGAGGAAAGAAGGCAGACTCATGAGCCACAGTCCTCTAGATTTTTGGGAGAAGACGGCGCAGCCATTCGATAGGTATTGAGCGTCTTTAGTAGTTTGAATACTCAAGTATGGCGAAGATGTTGAAAGGTGGGAGGGGAAGAGAGGCAGACATGTTTCTTAAGGCTACGGGTTTCCCTTATTGGAGAAGACGACGCAGTCATAGAACGAGTTGGGCCTGCTTTTGGTATTTTGAATACTCAAGTATTGGGAGGTACAAAGAGACCGAAGGAGGAAGAGAGGCAGAAACATTGCCCATGAAAATGTCGATTTTGGAGAAGACAGCGATGCCATGAGGTATATGTTGACCCTTTTTGGTATTTTGAATACACAGTTGTGTAGAAGATACCAAGAAGAAGAGGAAGCAAGAGGGGGTTTATATATCCACCCACACTAGTGGCAACACTCTCCATGCCAAGTCATCTCTTGTAGTTGAAGCAAAGAGGAGAAAACGACACATGTCTCGTCAAAGAATGGTTTTCTTGACATTTTAGAGTCGCCTGGGGTCTTTCAGACATGAGTTCGAACCGTTTCTGCTTTGCACATTAGATACTATGGAGTGACTTTTGGTGGCACGGGCTGCTGCACAGACATTTCGGTGCCAAATGTTGGTTTTGGTGAGATGAACTCTAGAAGGAAGGAAAGAGGCAGAGACCACATACAGACATAATCAAGAAGTCTCAGAGTCCGCAAGCGCACCCATAATCACCTTCATGTCCGATTTTAGTGTGCAATGTCTGTTGCAAGAGCCTTCTCATTCCAACCGGTTTGCACAGTTTTGGAGAA